AAAAAAAAAAAAAAAAAAAAAAAGACAGCTATGAGAAAATGTTGTTTGTACCCAACCACAACAAAATAAAGATCACCTCATTTCTTATTAGACATTTACTGTGTTGCCAGTTCTGTATATTGATAGAATCCTGTAAGAGGCTCAACAGAGAAGTGCAAAGGGTCAATCAAGAAGGTATGGTAACAGTTCAAGTGAGGGCCTTCCTTTGTTGCACCGATATAGCTGCACCCCTTACACCCAGGCCTCAGAAAATATTGCGGATGTCCTCACCAGAGGGTTGAGAACCACTTCCTCACTTTGGGTGCCTCCAGACAGCCCTAGAACTGAAACTCAAATTGCTTATGTGGCAACTCTAATTGTCACACCAACTAGGATATTCCCTAAATCACATGATTTTACTAAATATTTAACCAAATGGAATATTTATGTTCTTTCGTTATTAGCCATCTGGTGTTTAACCTCTGGAAACCACATATACAGGATCACATCACACTATCCTCTGTTAACTTATGCTTTTTCACTGGAATAAATAAAACTGCCTACTTTCGACTTATGTCTATTTTAATAAAATCTATTTGGTTTTGTACAAGCAATAACCTACAATTTAGACAATGTATCAAAAGACATGGTGTTAAAGGCAATATCCAGACTATGTTGTTGCTTTGATCTGTTCCGAATTAGCTTTAAATGTAAAGTTTGACCAAAAAAACTACCTGAACTCTTTTAAGGAGACCATGATTATTTAAAATAAAAACTTTTAATTCCTATTACAAACATTATACACCCACCTTGACCTTATTAACTCTTAAGTAGCAGAACAAATTATTTTTGTCTGCCAAAAAAAGGAAATTTAAAGCTATCACTTAATTCACCTTGCTTTTACTAAACAGTTGGTAAAATTTTCATGACTGCCTTGTGATTAACATTATGAAATATGACCTAGATTATAGTATTATTAGGTGGATTTGCAATTAGCTGGAACACCATAATCAAATAACAGTTCTCTAACAGTTAACAGAATAACAGTTCCACAGGCCTCTGGCTTTGGACCTAGTTTGTTTAGTACTTATCAGTAATTTAAGTAAAAACACAGAAACATAAATATCAGATTTGTAAATCACAAAGCTCACATTTTTACTTATTATGCTAGTTAGCAGTCTCTAGATTAAAAATTATCTCAACCAGATGATGAAATATAGCATAGATAAATATAAACTCCCAACATTTGAGGTGCTTTTGTTGTTGTGGACAGGCAGTAAGATTTATTGGTGAGCCTGGGTGAGGAGGGGGCAGCACAGCAGAAGCCCTCATGAATGCAGGGCCCGCCACTTGTCCAGGGGGCCATGACTGGGGATGTATTTGACCCCATACGCATCCAGGGTGAACAGCTTCTCAGCTACGAGGTCTTCAAATTCATCTGCATTAAACTTGGTAAAGCCCCACTTCTTTGAGATGTGCATTTTCTGGCAGCCAGCAAACTTGAACTTGGCCTTCCATAGGCCCTCAATCACATGTTCCTTGTTCTGCAGCTTTGTGGGGACAAACATCATGACTTGGCCAACGTGAATTCTGGCCACAGTGCGCTGGGACTTTCCAAAGGCACCTCGAGTACCTGTCTGGAGCCTAGACTGGGGACAGTGCAAGGTCTGAGGCATGAAAGTATATTGCAAAGGGCTGTCTCAAAGGTCCCTTAGAGCAACCTGCACAAGTGACAGGATGCGTGCGAACACTAACGAGGAGGCTGCTGTTTGCAGCCATCACACACCATTTTTTTTTTTTAAATTAACCATACAGTGGTGTGGCATCCTGGATTGAATCCTGGAACAGGAAAAACCATTAACAGAAAACTTTGTGAAATCAGAATAAAACCTAGAGATTAACAGTAACACACCAATGTTGGTTTCTTAATTTTGACAACGTACTACGGTAACGTTAAGATGATAACATTAGGGGATACAAGCTAGGTGAGGGGTATATCTTTGCAACTTTTCTGTAAACCTTGTTATTCCAAAATAAAAGTGTAAGGGGGAAAAAAAACCACCAAAGAGTTTAAAGGAGATCTTCCTAAAATGTAATTTGCATTTTAAAAATCAGGTGATGTTTGTTGACCACAATTTAGAAGTACAATGGAGTTGCTTAAAGCGACCGTGCCGTGATCTTCCGAACAATTAATAAAAGCTACTTGTTTGGTTTTTTTTGGATGGTGAGAATAAAAGCTACCTTTTATTGGCTGCATATAGTAGGCCAGATACCGGGTAAGGGATGCCTTATTTACTAATTCATTTCATCTTCACAATCTTGAGAGATAGGTATTACTGTCCCCAATAGAGAAATGACAAAAGGGATAGCTTTTCCCCACTTACACCACTGATCGTCTAGTCCAAATGCATCAGTTTAAAAAACTAACACCCAAAAAAGATGACTTATCTCAAATTACGTTAACAGAAGCACACTCTAGACTAAGAATGTTTTATGCATCCACAGCCATATTTAATTTTGTTGAAAACTTTAAAAGCTTACAAATTGAAATCATTTTCTGAGGCTTATTGTGTATATACATTAAAATAAATAAGATTTTCTATTAAAACAAAAGCTATAAACTGGAAAAGAGTACAACATGGGACGAATCCAGGAACCATGTGACATAAGATTAAGAAACAACTGTAGGAACTGAAAATGTTTAGCTCAGATGTGACTAAGGGGCATCAATTGGTCTTTTCAAGTAAATTTGTGGCTCTTGTAGAAAAGAGAATGAAGTCACGATTATACCAGAGCCCAGATATGACTGGAAGGAACCAGCAGGCAAACTTAAATACTGAAAAAAATTCATCCAGCAATAGGATAATTTAAAAGGTAAGCTCCCAATACCTAACCTCTTCATGCATCAGTCTGTCATCTGTAACACAGGTACCTGGCCCCTACAAAGGTTGGTGAGGATTCAATGAGACATCTCTGCCCTGCAATGTATGACAAAGATTTCAATGAATATACTCAAAGCTGATAGAGCTAGGCAGCTCATGCCTGTAACCTCAGCACTTTTGAGAGCCCAAGGCGGGAGGACTGCTGGGGCCAGGAGTTCAAAACCAGCCTGGGCAAGATAGTGAGACTGTCCCTACAAAAAATTTAAAAATTGAGCCTAGGCATTGGAGGTTACAGTTAGCTATGATTGTACTACTGCATTCCAGCTTGGACAACAGAGGAAGATCCCATCTCAAAACCCACAAAATGGACTTGAGGTTAGATTCAAAGATTTTTAAGTTTTCTTCTGATTTTCTATGTGATTGCCATGAGGCCAAGTTAAGCCTCATATACTGAGATGTCTAAAAAGTAATACATTTTTATACTCTCCAATAACTCCCCTACTTACCCTTTGTGTCTCAGCTATTCCTGACAAATACCTTCTCTGGCCAGTGTAAACTACCTCCCTTCTACTCTTCTCCCTCAAAGCATCCTTGTTTTCCTTCATAGCATCATCGCAACTCAGAATTACCTATTTATTGACTATCTAGCTCCCCCACCGACTACAACTCAAAGGGCACGAACTGTGCCCATGTTGTTCGCAGTTCTATTCTCACTGCTTAGAATAGTGCCTAGCACATAGGAGGCACGGTATTTTTATAACAAATTAGCTCTTCACTGTCCTACAGAATATGTTAACATTATTCTTCCTTAAAAAAACCAATCTCTTGATTACTAAATGGTTCAGTCACTTTGGAAAACAGCTTGGCAGTTTAAGTTTACCACACAGCCCAGTAACCCCGTTTCTAGGTATTTATACAAGTAAAATGAAATGTATGTTACACACAAGCCTATATGTGAATGTTTATAGCAGCTTTATTCATAATTGCCCCAAACTGGAAACAACCAAATGTCCCTCGGCTGGGAATGGATACACACTGTCACAAATCCATTAAGAAGGAACAGATTACTGACATATGCAAAATGGATGAGTCTCAAATGCATCATGCTAAGTTAGAGGCCAGACTCAAAAGGATTATATACTGGATGAGCCCAGGTATGAGTACTGCAAACACAAAATTGTGAGTAGAAACATCAGTGGTTACCAAGGGCTGGGGGTTAGGAGTTGACTACAAAGGGGCACAGGGGAACCTTGGGGGATGATGGAACTGTTCCACATTTTAATTGTGGTTAACTCTATACATTTGTCCAAACTTACAGAACTGTAAGAAAAATTTTAATGTAATACCTTTATAAAAAATGGGACTTTTAAGTCCCTTGCTTGAAATTTTCCAATATCCTTTGCTTAGAATTATTGAAACAATTTCACATTATCTTTGTCATATCTCCCATAGGCTACAAACTGAACTCGCGTTTAACCCTTAGAGATCCATGGGCCTACTAAAAGCAGTTCAAGGTAAATGACAAGTTTTTGACAGTTGCAAATAATCAGATCAAAGGATATTTAAATAGCAATCTTCAAATGAAACCTTTTAGAATTACACTAAGATATAAATGGTAGGTAACAGTCACTACAAAACGGTTTGCAACGTCATGTTGACAACCCAGTGCTAAAATTCTGGCCTATTAACCTAAGTTGTCAATATTCATTGAGAAAGAAATGAGACAGGATTGATGTTAGTTCAAAACAAATCATGTCCCACCCAGCAGACTTCCATGAGTCATAGCTGAGGCCTGATTCACCTAAGATTCGGGAATTATCAGTAGGATTAACTATGGGAAAAGCAATGTACTGAAATTGTTCTATCTGGCCAAAACCCAGTAATTTTGGATGTCCTTATTTGGGTATGAATTAGAAGGAAAAGAAAATCACAATGTTTTTAACTAGAATGCCTTTCCCATTTCCTTTAATATTCTAAGATCACACCAGAATTTCTGGAGTAAAACTGCAAGTCCACATCTGAAGTTACTTATAACCAAACATAACTGTACAACTTAAAACATGGTTTTTAAAGTATCAGTTCCAGGCATTCAAGTTAGTTTTCACTTTTGAAATCCACTCCCAAATTGTTTTTAATCAATTCCAACACAATAGTTACTGTAGGAAACATATGCTCCCCTATCTTGATTAAAAATTCATCTATCACACTGAGCTAGTTCGTGATGAGTACCAGTAGGTGGTGCTCAAACCAGACAGTTGTCTTAGTCACACACACTGGGTTTCACTGAGAAGTGGAACTTGGTATACAGCTAGCTGAACCGGAGCTCTTCTGAGACTGATTCTTCTGCTATCCTATCCTTTCATGGTGGTAGCAATTTTAAAGTTAGACCTTGATTCTTGGAGGTGCAGTAGTACATCTCTTCCGGTAAATCCTACAGCTGTGCTAATTTGCAGTTATTAATACATCAACCATCTATTGGACAGCTTTCCCTGATGACCTTGTCTCCTCCAGTCAAGCAAATAGCAAGCTTACACCAACATGAGACAAGAAACAGAACAAAGTCTTTAGTCATTCAATTTACAGCCCTTGATGCCTGAGAGCACTGTTAAGGCATTTTTACCCAGTCCAGACTTAAATGAGGAAAAGGCTACAAACATTTCAAACTGGTCTTTCATTTATGGCCACATTCAAGTAGCTTGATGGGGTACCCTTTGAATTGTGACCTGAATCACACTGCATGTGACTAGTGACTATATATTTTTAACCACTTAATCTAAATCCTAATTTGCCATGTATTAACATGTCATGTAAATTTCACCTGTCTTGTAAACTGAAATTTAAAAATTTCCTTTCATAAGCAAAACACTCCTTTAAATATTGAGGCTGAGATACAGAATTACTGTTAAAATTTTCAAAAATTCAT